AATGAATATCCTAACAATATAGCAGTTGTTTAAAGGGAACCTATTATGCTTTTTTCCATATTTTTATTCTTGGGCTCTAGTAGAGTAGATTTGAATGATTCACAGTTAAAAATAGTTCTTGTTTATTTTATTTATCCTCCAGTTCATATGCCATCTGAAACAAGCCATTTTAGCTCCTGTCCATGGAAGACCTTTAAGAAATCCCTTTATGAGCATCCAGCGTTGTAACAATATGTGTGCATTTATAACAGAAAATAAAGCATTTTCACACAAAATACTAGTTGAAATTTTACACCCAATATTTGGACCGTCCTTCAAGTTAGTTGCCAACTTACTAACTGATAAATCCAGCATCGTTAGGCAGACTGATTGATGCAAGCCTGTGTTTGAGGTCTTGTATCGTGATTTAAATGCACTGAATTTTTGCCACCTGGCCTGCAAGCTTACGGTGCATTTGTCGTTGCGAGAGGCTTCGTAGAAACATCCCAGACGTCTCTTATCTGCGTGCTGACACCTAATCATTTACCCAAAGTCACCAGGTCCACACTGTTTGCTGCCTTACAGGTGCAGCCTGATTGTAGCTTACTGATGTAAGGCAGTAGTCCCCTCGCTCCGTCCTTCAACAGAGTTCATATCGTGTTGCCAGAGTGCTTAAAGGCTGAGGCAGGCAGTAATATTTTTTTGTGGTTATTAGACAAAAAATCCTTTAATAACCTTTCAGCATATTGTAATTCAAGTGCTCTCAGAGGAAACCAGACCTCTGAACCATCTCTTCACTCTGTTTTCAGGCTTTATTAGATCTAGCCTACGTCTTTGTTCAATCACAGGCCTAATGGCTCCTCTGCAGATGTGCAGAGGAGTCCTTTGCACATACTTCAGATTGTGAAAAGTAGCAGAAATTCCTGAAGGAAAATATGATTTTCAAAATTCACAGCTTGCACTGCGTCGCAGTCTGGTTTTTTGTTTTGTGGTTTTCCTTGTATATTACCTGAAACTCGGCCATAGCAATTGAATGGTAACATTTTTGTTTCATTTGAAAATACAAAGCCCGATGGCATGTTGAAATCTCAGACTTGCCTGTTGGCGGCGTGTTTTATGCCTATTCAAACATTTTTGCCTCGTGCAGAAAGAACAAAACCTTGTTAAAGACGCCCTAAAAACACAGACAGCATTTTGATTTTTGTGCTCTGTGTCAGAAAATGCTATCCCACTCCTACACACAGTGTCACCACTCTTTTGTGAGTGAGTGGATTTACCTGCACACTCATAATGGTGAAATGTGTGCATATAAACACACATGAAACGTGATTGTACTCCTATGTGCGTCAGTCAGTATCAGTGTAAATGGCCGGAAACTGCGGAGATGGCTCAGCTGATGCATAAATGAGCGGAAACGCGATACTGTAATTACGCAGGGTTATGACTAACATCAAGGTTGAAAAGCAGTGCTCTAGACCAGCATGGTAATGTGCATGTAAATGCATTTACTGACTCGATTAGAGAGATGTCAGAGGTCTGGCCACAGGCACCACCACCTCACACATTGACTGTCTACTACACAACTTCTCTACTCTACAGGACCACAGGGAGGTTCTGAGAAAACATCATTTTAAAAAACAAAACAAAAAGCTTAACATCAATAATTACGACAGTGTCTATTGTCTATATCTTAAGATATGCTGTAATGTAAGCTCATTTCTTCACTTTCTTCCTCATCAATCATCACCTCTCTCACCCATCAAACCTCAACTCACAAAGATGCTGGTAGGTCACACGCAAGTGTTAAAAAATTTCTTTCGTTTTGTAAAGTTAAAGACTTCATGCGTTTTTGGGGGAGGGGGGGATTTTAGACAATTTTCCTGACATATGTAGCAATTTTATGGCCCGTTAGATGCGCCGCCTGTCATTTCTGTTTAAGAGGTACAAGATTTTTGTTTGTCTGTAGGTCATGATTATAACTGTTCTGCTGTGGTTTGTTGGTTTATTTCATGATTTCATTGTGATTCCTAGTGACTAGGCCATTAGAGCACCACACTGGGGAGGCCTCCTCAACCATACGCACTACCTCTCCGTCTGCCTGCACGGACTCGAACACTGAAATGCATGAACACAAGCACTTAATGCGCCAGCCTGCAGCAGAGCAGATTGACAAGGTTGATGAAAAGAAATATGGATTACAATTTTCACTCGTTTGTATCTTGAACGCTAAGTGACAATTAATTTGTGGCGGTGCTTTTAGTTTGCCAAAGTAGCCTAGATTCAGGCTCGTCTGTTATTTTAGGTTGCAGTTGAATTACAATACCTTGCAGATGTCTCGAGTTCTCCCTCATTTCTTTATATTTCACTTCTAATAAGTCACATTTTCTTGTTATTTTTTTTATTTTATTTTAAGTGGTCTTGAGTAATAGTTCTGTAGGCTTTCTAAAGGTCTTTCAAAGTTCTTCTTGGGACATTGGCTGCTACATAAAATAGTAAAATGGTATATTTGCCCCAGCAATGTGATTCCCGAATAGCTATTAGCCAAAAATTTTGCATATCTCAGCATGGAGTGCTCTGAGTTCTTAAAAAATTTGAGGAAAGTGGACAAAAGAAGAAAAGGCCGGTCTGTAGAAGTGTCTACAGCAGAAAGTGTTTTTTGTCTTATATACTTACATATTTGTTACCATGTTTTCATAAATTGGTGCAGTTATTTCCAATTTCTTAGCAAGATATAAAGAAATGAGGGGTGACTTTTGCACAGTACTGTATTTCTGTATTATGGATTAATGCTTTTTAAGCAGCAGCAATATAATGTCGTATTTTAAAAAGAGATAACGCAGTCCTCTCCTTCCAAAAAGGCCAAAACATGGATAATAATGAGGTGCCAAAATCCAGCGCCGCCTGTCTCGTACTTTCCAAGTTGATTCGATTAATCATAGCAGATGTGTATGCATTATAAAGCGATTGGTGCAGTCTGCATTTACCATGGAAGGAGTGTTGTTCAGATGGCCTCTTTAAGTGCAAGTATGTTGTTGTTGTTGTTGTTGTTCTTGATAATCACCTGGTCTGGGTTTGATTTTGTAACATGTGGAAAGTGTTCTGAACTGGGTTTGATTTTTTTTTATATATTTACGTATATGAATATAATGCTGTAAAGTGCAGTCATAAATTAAGAGATTTCTCTTTCACATCAATAAAGGAAAGAAGTAAAACCACAGCAAAAATGCACAAGTAGAATTTGCCTTTTTGTCATTTATTGAGCAAAATTGTGAATACATGACAGATGACATAAAAAGTAACCAAGTCTTTGGCCTCAGAGGTGCCGATGAGCGGGCTACTATCACCTCACAACAAGGTTCCTGTTTTGAACATGTGTGGGTTTGATTTCTCTCTCCAGAGCATTTCATTCCCAAATACTTGGTCTTTGTCATATGTTCACTGGGAAACTGAGGCCTTTTTGTTAGCAGGCCTCCCATGCAGGTCAAATGTGTAACCAGTGGCTGCAGGATTGTTCTGCAGATTGTTCTGTGAAATTTGGCAGACTGGGGGACATGGGATAAAATTGCTGGGATGGCAGTCCTAGAGGGACAGGAGTTAACAATTCCACCTCACAGCAAGACGTCTATGTTCAAACTCAAGTTAACTTAAACGCTTCCTTCAAGTGTTTAAGTTAACTGGTGATTCTAAACAGTCTGTAGATGTGGACTGAACAGACTATGGCTCTCTTTTCTTTGTGTTAGCTGTGAGGGCCTGGCAACCTGTCCAGTATGTGCTACCTTTTTTTTCCCCTCACAGTGTCACCTGGGATAAGCTCCATCTCCACCACAACCTTGAAATGGAATAAGTGGATGAGCCACACGCTGTTCAACCAGCATTTGTCACAAGTCAGTCACTGTGGTTGTGTTGGTCCCTTCTGCCTCAACAAAGAAATCATCAACAAAACACAAATATCCTTAGTTTTTGTGCTAGGTTTATTCATCCACTACCGTTTATGGCTTCAAGGACTCTTTTGAACTTGGAATAGCGATAGCAGATGTCAGAGGTGTGAAATAAGACTGGTTCCACCTGTCCCTAAAGTACTGGACCTTTAAAAAGGATAACAATGCTAATGACACAAAACCACTAAGGAGTGATTTAAAAAGAAGAAATGGTTGGTCATGGAATCGCTTAAATTAAGGTAAGCACAAATGGCCACATATTTTCTAAAAGCTGAATTAAAGCGTTGTTAAAGGTTACAATGAAAATATCACATTATTACATAGAAATCCACCTGAATCAAGGTTTAAGTTGCTCTACAGCTTTGTCACTGCGAGCCGGACAGCACAGACTGTGCAGTCATTTGCAAAATGCAGCAAAAGACTCATCGCCCCGAAATGCAGAACTGATCGCCACAGTAAATCCTTTGTACCGGTGGCAATAAGACTGTACAGCTCTTCCTCACTCTGTAGGTGATTTTCCTAAGACTAATACCAATGTTATTCTGTTCCTTTTCAGACCGTGCAATATCACCCAACAGTACCTTATTGAATATTTGTTTCATCTCCCCATCATACGCTGCTACTCCCTTTATTCAATTGCACAACACTATGTCACCTTCTAGAATCGCCTGCACTGATAGTTAAGTTATTTATTCTCCAGGATATAGTTATATTGTTACTTTGTTAGAGTTATTTGATACTATATTTTGCACTATCTTACTGTATAATACTGTATACTGCTATTCTTATTGTATATCTTATTCATCTGTTCCTCTGTCTCTCCTGCTGCTTTGAGCATATCATATGACAAAAGAATTTCCCTCGGGATAAACAAAGTTATACTTATCTTATTTGCAAGAAGATACTTGAATATCAAGTAAATTAAGTTTAAAAGGGACAAAGTAGGTTTAGACTTAAGTTTATGAAAGTGTTCGTGTGATTCTAATGCAGCGCTGAACTTCATTTCCAAGGCTGTACTAAACAGCTGTAAGCTGATTAACCAGCAGGTGGCGCTAATGACAAAAAGAAGGCTATAAAGCACCTTTTTATGCAAAGAAGAAAAAAACGGAGGAAGCAAAAATGGCTCAGGGTTCGCAGAAGTTTAAAGCTCAGCGTCCAGGATCCAAAAAACAACAACAGAGCAAACAGAAAGGCCCGAAGAAAGGAGGTATGGCTCTGATTTCTTTCCCTTATGAAGCCCGATGATTAAAAATATTAACAATAACGTGTGAAGTATTTTTAGTCGGTCAGCAGCTCCACCATGTGCCCCGCCTGTAAACAGCTGAGCACGTTTCAGATTATTTACCTCAAACATGTGGACAGTCTGTCCAGCACGGATATTTAAACAGCAATGAAACCAGTAACCCACTAAAGCCTTTCAAAAGCACACAAAAAATAAATAAGTACAAATAAAAAAAATAAGGGGGTCGAGAGTAAAACAGAAACATCAAATTAGCTTCATGCCTTTGTAAGCAAGCTAGTGACAGATGGATACGGTATTGATGCCACAAGGGAAATGATTGTGTTACAGCAGCAGAATAAAGAATAGAAATAGTACAGTCTACAATAAATAAACAGCATAGTTAAAATGCCACAGGTGCAAAGTACACAGTGCAAGTACTGATATATAGAACAGTGGCTAAAATGTTATAGAACAGTGAAAAAAGAGAGTAGTGCACATCACATTAACATATCTATCTAGATAGATAGATATCGATAGATAGATATCGATAGATCGATATCGATAGATATACGCACGCACACACATATATATTTATATACATATATATAAAAGAAACGGCTGCAGGAAGGCATAACTCGGAAATATGTGTGTCTTAAGGAGTATTTAGTTGTCACAGAAACTCAGAACTGATGAACTTGTGAAGAAAGGCGGGACAAGTTTGGATGTGATCCAATCAGAATTAATATTGTTAAAAAAAAGTCTCCCAAGTTTCCTGTTTTTTTTATGAAAATGTGACAAAATGTCAGCACTTGGGAGCGAGAGAAGTGTAAACTTACAGACTTAAATTTGATATCAAGGAAAACTGTAAGCCATGAGGAGCAACTTAAAGTGAACTTTCTGAGGAATGCTTAAGCTGTTTTCTGACGTGTCTTTATTAAAGTCTTAACTAATACATAATGAACATTTTAAAATATGACCTCAATTAGAGTCACAAATGAAGATAAAACACAGTATGCTGTAAGCTTGCCGGCCTTTTGAATGACACGTGAGTGAACACATGTCACAAATGATTTCAAAAGATGGTGATAACAAACATTCAGCTCAAAATTCACTAAATTCATTAACCGCTGTGATGTCATGGTGGCTACATCCATCTTTCATATACAGACTGTAGTTTTTGCAGGGTATACCAAAAAGCGCTTGAGCTCCATCTGATGGACAAACCTTCAGAGTATCTGAAAAAGGAAAGTTGATGTTTGTGACACTTTCTGTTACAAAGGGAGGATCATAGCACCAAAGAAGGCTCAAGTGGTTCAGCAGCAGAAGCTGAAGAAGGTGAGGAGGACAAGTGACAGGAAATCAGAGGAATTTAACAGTGAGTACAGGTCTGAGCTTGACCCGCTTTAACTTGTCTCCAACTCTGCTGAAGGGTCTAGAGGTTGCCATCAGGAACAAGATTGAGCAGGAGGTGACCCAGAAGGCCAGCTCCTCCCTCCACAAGCCGCTGAGTGTGATTAAAACTCCCGAGGCTAAAGGAAACCCTGGAGCAGCCCGTCCTGGAACCAGCTCCAAATAAAACCAGCTCGCTCGAGACCTGAGTCTTCTGGTTTTATATTACAAATTGATTAAAATGAAGTTTGAATGGGTTGCAATTAATATCAAATGTTACATGTCCTGCTTTGTTTTGTTTTTTTGACTGCAAGCTGACTTCCATGTTTTTAAGAAGTTAATCCAAAACATTTAGCGATTACACTCACTGGACAGGTTACATCAGGCTGTCACAGGATTTTATCTTTTCCTGCAAAGATAAAATCGACAAAGGAGACAGATTTTTGGTACTCTGTCAGATTATTCTGTAGTTATCACTGTACAGAAAAATTGTATTGTAAAATGTATAAATGGGCTTGATTTATTTAATCTTTTGTGTTGATAAAGTGTTTTGTCAGCTTGCTTTTTAAAACTAAAGATGATCAGTTCACTGTCTCTCTCTAATCTGTTGTGAGAATGTTTACACACTGCACTGTCAATAACTATGAAACTATTATATATATATATATATATATATATATATATATTATATATATATATATATATATATATTATATATATATATATATATATATATATTTTTTTTTTTTTTTTTTTTTTTTTAAATATGAAAATTTTTTGGGTGTCACTTGTTTTCTTTCCTTTGATGGTACTTGGTCCATGCTTTGTAAGGAGTATAAGAATTTTACAAGGATAACAGAATCTGCCCTGCTCACGCTGACAACTAAATATGATTGGCAGGTCCCCACACCCTTTTCCAAATCACAGTGAAAATATAAACAGGTTAAATAAAAGCAGCAAAATCATTTTTAAATGCCTCGGCTCAGTCAGACTCCAGCCATGCTGACAATAGCTGCATGATCGGACATGGTTGCAAGTTTACTGGTGCTTTTCTAACGTAAGCACATGCGTTGTAGTGATTGGAGACAAAGTTAGACAGGCAAGGCTGAAATGGTTTAGACGTGTGCAGAGGAGGGATGGACAAAGGATGCTGAGGAAGACCGCAGAGAAGGTACAAGAGTTCTCTGTTATGAGGTATTTATTTAAATCCTTTTGCTGGATTTAATTTGTAGCCATGCAGAGGTGCAACATCTACATTTAAGTTTGATAATTATGAGGTTACAACGTCAGACTTAAAGCTTACTGATAGTATACTGTGCATATAAGGACAGCACTACCTTATGGTTAACATGATCACATATGTTAGATTAATTGCTAAAATACAATCAACAATTGAAGCAGTACAGATTCACCAGCACTTATTTCTAAAGCAGGTCTAGAACTAATCTGAGCATGTTTAAAAAGCCTTAACGGCCTCCATGCAGTGATGTGAGCGCAGGAAACGAGGGAAGGAGTCCTTGGCCATCAGACTGTAGATCCTCTGCTGTGCTTTGTTGAATGTGTTGGGACATGGAGAGTCCATCACACTCAGCAGAGCCTCCCGGGTCTCAGCATCCAGGTTTACCTAACGAGGGAAAAGTTATTTAAATAAGTTTTGTTCTTCATCATTTGCTGTTTAGTGATGTGTGCTCCTCTCTACCAACCTCCTGTGGAGCGTCAGGGTTGATAAACTGGCTGTAGATGCTGCAGGCCTTGTTCTTCTGCAGGTTTGAAGGGGAAACCCTGTAATCCTCGCAAGCCAGCCAGAACTGAAGGTTCTCCTCACTGAACTCGGAGCGCAGGAACGCCCGAAAGGCCTGCAAACCACCTGAGAGGAAGAAGAAAAGAAGAGCTAGAAGAACGGTTCAGGTTTGACACAAATTTCAGCTAAACATCTGAGCTTTTCATGTTTTTACTTGGTTACAAAAATTCAAAAATACTGTTCTAAAAGCCATTTTTACACAGTTCCTATGATAAACTGTGCTACTGGAATTAACATTGAGTTATGTGAGATTATAATATTATTTTATGCCATGTTAGACCCTTAATTAAAGATTGTGAATTATTATGTAGTTTTAGTTTGCATTATTCTCCTGAATTAGAAGAAGGTGATAACTATTGCATTTGTTAAACTGATTTGCATTACATTAGACTGCTGATTTATTGTGAATGAATGATATTGTTTTATGATGCATTATACTGCTGAGTTATAAGAAATACTGTTCGCAGAAAGTCATCGCCTTATTTGTCTGATTAGAAGAGAACGGAACATGCTGGAGTTTTCTGCCCCATCTCAGCAGGAGCAGATAAACAGGGAGCCAAGGTCATAGCTTAGGCGCCGTGTGAGAGAAAGCATGTGAATGTTTAGGCTTTTATGATTAGGTGGGGGCCACTAGAGGCTATAAGAGTTTGATCAATGCTCCACCATTTTGAGATCTGATGCTGTCTGCGTACGGTGTCCATCTCCCACGCGTGTGATCATTAAAATCATCGTTTGACTCAACCCGGCCGGACCAGTGTGGTTATTGTGGTTTTTCCTCTTGTATCCATCCCCAATATTTGAATCCGTAACAGTTATTTCACCTTAATTCTCCTTATTGAGGCTTAAATAGTACAAAATATGCAGTTGTCAAACACAGCTGACTGCCTTTCCTTTGATACATACTGTTTTAAATAGTAAGTTAGCATTAGCAACACTAAAAAATAAATTAGCCAACAGTAATATGATGGTTTTCACCATCTATCTAGAGTATTAAGAATACAGGAGATATAGATGTATAAAAGTAAAGGTACTTTTACTTTACAATTAATTAATTATAAGAATTAACTCAGTAAAAAGTAAAAAGCAGTTCAGTTAGGATGCACCCTGAATAAACATTACCATGTCACATTTTTAAAAAGGAAGAACACTATATGTTAGTGATAATAATGCCTAATGTCTTCAGATTTTTAGCTGAAATATCAGTGTGCGTTCTTATGTACAAAATAAAAGCACTTTGCTGCCTGTGCAAACGACTGATTAACCTTTCTCAGTAAAGATGTGCTAGAATTAACCAGAAAAAGGTCACATCTCCTCACCCTCCAGTAACATTGAGCTGTTTTTCATGTTTGAATATTAAAGTGGTGACTGACTTCAGAAGCAAAATAAAGTGAATCTTACTTTTGCTGTTCAGCAGCGTTTCCAAGTCTTGCAGAATTCTTCCGTCCTGAGTCCTGATAAAAGGGGCACAGGGAGTCAGAAATGTAGCTTCAGCTCCTCTGATTTACTCCTTATTCAAAATACGGGTTTCAGTGAACTTACTTGTTCTTGTGGTGGGTCTCAGCCAGGTGGCTTAGCTTCACCCGCATCTCTTTTGCCCTGAAACACAGACAAAAGAAGATGTAAAACAAACTCAGGGTTTCATTTATTAATGTAAAACATAATATCAAAAATAAACACGTACTTCTCCAGACATGAGGAAGGCAGGTAGGAGAGCCCCCTACACATTGAAGCTGCTAGTATTAAATGATCTGCAAAGGGAAAATTAACCGAGCTGTATTTGAAGAATTATTCCGAGCCAGTCTCCTGGACTAAAGCGTGCTGCTCTTATATACAGCAGTCCGCCCGTGTGCTATCTGATCTGTCAATCTGCTTCGATTAGAACAGCAGGTGTGGAGATGGGAAGTGAATAGAGATTAAAACCGTTGAATGAGAGGCTGTATACGTGCTCAAAGGCCATGTAGTCCTGTCAACAAGAGATACAAACACAGTCAATATATAATATAATAGTAGGAAAATCACATGTGTGAGTGTACATGAGTGGTCAGGGTACACCTGTCATCTTAAAAGTGTGTCATAAACGAAACACAGAGTGGGCTGCAGAGTTATATCACAGAAGAATAAAGTGATGAGGGAGGAGCAGGTGGACAGGCACAACCACTCATCGCTGGAGAATGTCTGAGATCTGCAGGCCGGAGATGATGATGGACAAGCTGGTGGACAAAATTAGAGGAACATCTGGCAAAATCATTAAATAAGGTTCAGCTTTTCTTCTCCATTTCTAATTTGTTAGTTGGCTGTTTTATAACCCTCTTATGTGGCTCTCTGCAGACAGTGCTCATCTGTATGTCACTGCAAATAATGTTAAAAAGAGAGCTAAAACTTTGTGCCAAATTCTGATCGACTCCATATTACTGTAAATTTGTAAAAATCAAATCAGAGACACATAGAGACAAAAATGCTTCTGTTGAATCATAACTTCCATTGTTTGAATAATGTGACGTATGGGAGGCCTGCAGATTATGTCGTGCTCCTCCTGAATGAAAAGATGACACTGGTTGGTTAAACATTTGCACACATGAGTCAACTAATTTTTAAATACTGGTGTTTCATTAGACGCTGTGAGGAAAATCCCAAATTATCTGAGATACTCAGAAAGATCCCCAGCTGTGTTCTTGTTCATTGATGTTCCTGTCTCACCTGGAGAGAAATATCATTTATGAATACATATCAGTGCATTCGGTTATCTTCACTGTTTAAATTAATGACTTGAACATGCACGAATATCCTCTCTACATGTTAGTGATTCCTTTTTTTCCTTCGACCTTATGCTTTTGCCAGCTGTGATAGGTTATAAAATCTCCGTGCTCATCTTCAAGAGCTGCAGGGAAGAAGCAGGAATTTTGTGACATAACTAGTGTGGAAGCCAGTCACGTGTGATTTGGAAACTTGAAACCTCCAAACACACTGAAAATAACGAAGAAGGGGACACCTTGTGCCCAACAGCGGAATTGTTGAAATACCTTGAATAATTTTAGGTAATATACTGTGTTAAAATAAACAGAGAGTGGTTATGCACGTGAATACTCAAAGTATTTTTAAAAAGTCAAACTAGTATAGTTAAAATCCAGCATGCACGAAAGTGTCCAGCCTTTAAAAACCGTTCGCAAAGTACATTGAAGGTAAAGAAGCTCATTTAGCAGAATGTTTTTCAGTGATATACAATTCTGTGCAGGCTTTCAGCTTTAAGTCAAGGGATTTCACAAAAGTACTGCATTAACTGTTTAGGAAGTGCCGCCATTTTTAATCATATTGCTCAATGGTAAAGGGACAAATTAACATAACTTTAAATATAAGGAATTTGTACTTTAATTACAGCATGGCTGTTTGAAAGGCCACTGTGGTGGTGAACAGAGGCAAAACTAAGAACACTGTCACTGTCCAAATACTTATGGACCTAAATGTATTAGCCTGTTATAAGCATTAGGGAACCATGGACTGATGATCTTAGTATTTATTTAGAATCTGGCCCAGGGGCTCTAGCTGATGTCATGTGAGAAGTCCTTGTCGTAAACAATTAATAATTCTTTTTATTGACGCAAAATAAATTGCCGCCTTCACACTCTGAGTACACTGCGGACACACACGGATCGGACACTTCTCCACCAGAAGGCTTCAGCAGCAGCAGCAGGAGGACGACTGCGTGTTTCGGTCGCTTCCTGCTTCCTCAACAAGAGTGTCTGAGAAATCTGCAAGACGCAGCGCCAAGCGCCGCAGAACACGGAGACC